AGATCGATTTGGGCTGCCTCAAACCTCGACAGGAATTCGTACGTCGACGTCCCGGTGTTGTTTTTCTGCCCTCCTGGAAGGGTCAGGGGATATGGGGGGGAACAATCTCGCACGCCTAGGGGCCCACAAGGGGTCCGCGGATATGTTCGGGCCTTGGCGGGCCACATGTGTCCAGATCCATCCACCGCCAACCGAGGACCCTAAGGCTCGATCCCCCAGGCAGTGGTCCTGGAGGGATCCCCGCTCCGCATGGAGGGAAGGGAGAGCGGAAGGCGGCCCCGCCTCCTGCTTCCAGAGCGTGCACCCGGGCGCGGGTCCGAGGCTCTCTTCGAGAAGCAGGCGAAGGAGAATCAGGCGGTCAACAAGGTGCGTCGTGATCCGCCCATTCGCTCCGATCCACCCCCGCCCCCCGCTCCAGCCCTTCTGGGGCAGGAGGAGGGAGGAGGACGCGAAGGAGAAGGAAGTCGGGATGGAAGGAGGATAGAAGAGTATCAATGGCACCCCGCATTTGCGAGCCCGCCGGCGTGTTGCTCCTTCGTTTCTATCCGAAGCGCGGGGTGTCTCTTCGGCAGTAATTGGGTGATGCTGGTCTTGTTTTGACCTCGGTATCGCATTTGCTCCCTGGACCCCCGAAGGACGCGGAGGAGGAGGAGGAGGAGGAGTACGATGGAGCACGACATGGAGGAGGACGAAGACGAGGAAGAGGAGGAGCAGGGCGGAGGAGGCGAAGAGGAGGAGGACGAGGAGGAGGAGGAGGAGGACGCAGAGGAGGCTCCCCGAAAAACGCGGAGGAGGAGGAGGCAGAGAAGGAGGAAGGGGAAGGAGGAGGAGGACGAGGAGGACGAGGAGGACGAGGAGGAGGAGGAGGAGGAGGACGCAGAGGAGGCTCCCCGAAGAACGCGGAGGAGGAGGAGGCATAGGAGGAGGAAGGGGAAGGTGCAGGAGGACGGTGGAGGAGAAGGGCGGCAAGGGCCGCCAGCTTCGCGCCGGATGGCAGCGCGCCTGCACAGGAAGATGTGTGCCATCGGCTTGGCGCGCCCAGGTCGAGCTTCGCGCCGGCTGGGGGGGGCACGTGGACACGCATGGGGCCCCGGGTGCGGCAGAGCTCGAGGATAGAGTCTCTCTGTACTCCAGAGCCCCTTCATTTCGAGAGCAACGTGATCGACCGTCTGAGCCTCGAGAGTCGCTCCCCGCCCTCCCCCACGGTCTGGCGGATCGGGTCTTGCGTTTTGTCCAGCTGGTCTGGTCGAGTCTGGTCGGTCGAGTGGTTCACCGTGCTGGTCTGGTTGGCCTAGTCTGGCCTGGTTGGTCTTGGCCTGGTCGGTCTGGTTTGGTCTGGTTGATCTGGTCTGGTTCATCTGGTTTGGTGTGGTCTGGTGGGCCGGATCTGGCCAACGTGCTCCGCCAATCGCTCCCAGTCCCTCTCGATGGTCTGACTGGTCTGGTCTGGTGTTTGGTCTAGCTGGTCTTGTCTGGTTTGATTGGTCGCGTGGTTAATTTCGTTGGTCTGGTTAATGTGGTCTGATTTGGTGGTCTGGCCTAGTCTGGTTGGTCTGGTTTGGTGTGGTCGGCCCGGTTTGGTCGGTCTGTCTGGTATGGTTGTTCTCGCGGTTTGGTCTGGTTAGGTTTGCTCGGTCTGGTCTGGTCAACGTGCTTCATGAATCACTCCGCCCCATTCCCATGGTCTGGTTGGTCTGGTCCAGTGTTTGGTCTAGCTAGTCTAGTCTAGTTTGATTGGTCGCGTAGTCAACCGTGTTGGTCTAATTGGCCTGCTGTGGTTTGGTCTGGTTGGTCTGGTCTCGTCTGGTTGGTCTGGTCTCGTCTGGTTTGGCCTGGTCGGACTGGTCTGGTTGATCTCACCGGCTGGTCTGGTTTGTTTGGTCTGGCTGGTCTGGTTTGGTCAATTGCGTCAATGGCTCGCTCCCCGCCCTCCCCCATGGTGTTCCTGATCTGGTCTGGAGTTTGGTTGGGCTGGTCTGGTCTATGGGTGGAGAAGTTCCCCTTGTTTGTCTAGCTGGTCTTGTCCAGTGTGGTCTGGTTGGTTTAGTCTAGCCTGGCCGGTCTGATTTGGTCTGGTTTGGTCTGTTCGTTCTGGCCTGGTTGGTCTCACCGGCTGATCTGGTTTGGCCTTGTTGTTCTGACCTGGTGAAGATCAGTCTTGCCCTCTGGTTCGCGGCATATTTCCCCTCCTCGCCTGGTCGTTTGGTTGGTTCGTCTGGCCTGATTTTGTCAGGCTCGGTGTGTGGCCGTATTCTCTGCTGGCTTTGGCCCCGCCAAGAGGATTCCTCGCAAGAACAAGCCCTGCCAGCGGTGCGGCTGGTCTGGCTGGTCTCTGCATGCTCTGATCTTGATCTTCTCGGTCTAGCCCACTGCCAGGCCCTCTATCCCGCTGGAGAACGATACGGGAGTGCCATCAGACCCTCAAAGCCTCAAAAGGCAAAGGAAGAGGTAACCATTGCTCAACGTGGGCGCCTTCAACCATCGGTCTGCCTGGGTGGCCCCCCAGGCCTTTGAGCATGTCGGATTGGATAAAGCCGTTCTTCAAGTTGCATGTTTGCCATGCCCTGTATCCCACCGGTGACAAACCAGCCCCCCAAGGAAGAGGGGGAGGAGAGACGGAGAAGGAGGAGGAGGAGGAGGAGGACATAGGAAGAGGCGGAAGACGACGACGAAGAGGAAAAGGAACAGCTGACAAAAAAACACGAGGAGGCCGACGACAAGGCACGCGAGGACAAGCACGAGGAGGACGAGGGGGTGGAAAAGAATGTCGAGGAGGAGGAGGAGGAGGAGGAGGAGGAGGAGGAGGAGGAGGAGGAGGAGGAGGAGGAGGAGGAGGAGGAGGAGGAGGGAGAGAGGAGGAGGAGAGGAGGAGGAGGAGGAGGAGGAGGAGGAGGAGGAGGAGGAGGAGGAGGAGGAGGAGGAGGAGGAGGAGGAGGAGAAGAAGGAGAAGGAGGAAAAGTATTGTCTCTGACGGTCTCAGGGCCCAACGACAGTTCCGCGCCCTGGTCGTCAACTTCTTCGTCGTCGGCGTCGTCGCCGTCGTCGTCGTCCTCGTCATCGTCGTCGTCGTCGTCGTCGCCCCGCCATTGGCGTCGCCGCAGCAGAGGCTGGGACCGAAAGCGCTGCTGCGCGATGCATCAGCAGCCAGATTAGTTCTTATGGCCCACAGCAAGGAAGGCGCGGGGACACAAAAACATGTTTGCCGCCCGCGAATCCTGGGTGGAGCATTCTAGCCAAAGCGAGGTCGTCAACGAGCAGGAGAAGATGATGAAAATGAAGGGGCGCTTCGAGACCGCGTTCAAGAGCTGGGGGGGGACCCGACGCCGTGCCTGGCAGAGGTGAGAGGCGAGCAATCCGCGTGCGTTCAGTGGCCCGTTTGGAATGCCATGGTCTTTGTTCGTTCTCGTGCGTACGAGTTGCTCGTGATGCCGTCATTGGTCCCATGACCCTCCTATGTTCCGTGTGGCACGCAAGGCGAAGAGAGTTTTGGCGCCACCGGCGAGTCAAAATTCGCGAGCGCCCCACGTGGCTTACAGGCCGAAGTACGGGGTGCAAACATCGTCGTTCCCGACCATCCTCATGCATCGCCCCTGGTTTCCCCCACCCTGACCTCTTGACCTATCTCCAATCCACCTTGCACCAGACCTTCCCCTTCACACTGCTTACTATGCTTCGCATCCCATTTCTTGTTTAGTTCCGCAGTATTCTGCCTGACTTTTTCCCCCGGCCTTGCCTCCGTATTCCGCCAAGTTTGCCATGTTTGCTGTAGTGTCACAGGTCTTGCCATCTCCCTTCATTCCCGTCCGTAGGCAATGGGTCAAGTTCGATACCCGTGACGCGGGGGCTCGAGTTTCTGGTTCCGCCGCCGTTCGGCGCCCGACGCTGCATGTGCGCCAGACCGCGAGCAGATGCCATATCTAGTCTGCTCTGCCTGCTGCGCCGCGGGTACAGTCTCTTGGATCTTCGGCACCAGCCCCCTCCAAGAGTGTAACTTCATGAGTCTTGGCATCGCTCGGACGTGTAGAGTTTTCCTTCGGCGAGGACCATCGAGGAGCATCCTTGATCATTTGGCGAAAAAAACGCACACGGAACCGAACAAAAACACAGGGAATGGACGCCCGAGCGATGGCCAGGAGTCTCTGGAAGATCCCACAGTGTTGCGAATAAAAAGACTGCCGGACTCGGCTGCTGGACCAGAATTGCCAGGATAAAGAGAGACGAAGAGTGGCGGCGGATGCCGCGGGAGGGTGGCTCCTGATCCTGTTGTTGCTCTCCCTGCTCCTCTTGATGACGGCGTCTTCTCTGCTCGCACCCCTGTTAGCAAACGGACGGTCGAGGAAAGAGCACAAGTCCTTTTTAAGATGATGAGGTACACGATCGGTTTGGCAGTGAAGTGTCTGATGAAGCTTTCAGTACGATAATGGCGGTGTCGTTGCTTATCGTGAGGAGCAGGATGATTCAAACGAGCCTTTTGGTACAGTTGCTGACCAGGACGATTTTGTCCAGGCCCATTAGTCCCATTTCGAGTACTTCAAGAAGCTCCGTGTTGTTGCTCCACATAAGCAGGGTATTATACGTGCTCAGCATGAGCCTGCTAGGGCCGCGGAGACAAAGAACAAGGTCCTCACCCCCTCCAGTTGCGTGCTCGTCTGGCTCAGAGGGCTAAGTGGGCTGACAGGAGATTGCAGAAGGTTGATGACACGATTGCAGAGCACACACAGCAGCTTGATGGATCAAAGGAGTATCTGGAAGTCTTGGAGGCGTCTTGGCAAACCTGAGCAGCAACATTCAACCAATCAGGATTGTAGTATCGCATCGATGTCTGAGGCTAAGTATCTCCCCGTGGATGCCCGTGCCGATGCGCTCGGTACGTGGCACAGTTGCGAGAGCACGCATCGGCTGAGCCCAGTGATCATGGCAGGGATCCTCTTCGCTTGGCCCGCCGAGCTCCTACCTCCCTACTTGCTACGTCTAAGTAGGGACAGTAAGGGTAAACAGCCAGCAGAGGCCATGGACGTTGAGAAGGATCCTTTGTCTAAGTTGGGTGCCGATCCCCCGCGTGATGAAGTTGCCCCACCTACCAAGAAATCTTTCGTGGCTGCTGAGCAACAGGTTTCTTGGGCCGACATGTCTCCAGAGGCACAGTCGTATGCTCCGGCGGCTGTCGCGGAGGCCCTTGATGACGACACTTCTTATCACGTTGGTGATGCAGGGTTTGGATCTGGATCGTCGTCTCTTTGACGCACGCTCACGTACTCGTCAATCGCAGTCATGCGTGGGTCTTGCTGTCCGTGAGCGCAGTGTTTCAGGCGAATGCTGACAATTGTATCAGTGCACGCCAGTACGAGTTTGATGCTGTTCTGGTACGTATTTTGATGTTGTTGCCCCCTCAGGCGCGTCAGAGGACGCGATGACAGGTTGTTGAGCGTTGTGTTCTGATGGCCGATTTGCCTACTGCGCTGGCAGCTAGGAGAGAAGCGAGTCGCGCGATGATGATGCCCACCGCAGTGAGGTTCGGAGAGCCGCCGTGCAGGGCAGCTTCGAGGCCCGGACGTGGAGTTCTGCTACTGCCGCCCTAAGGGGTAGAGGGCGTCCGAGTGAAATGACCGTGCGTGCAACGGCGATCACCTACATCCTCCTCCTTCCAGTCAGCCGTCCGCCCCATAACTCCTCCCCCATTCCGTTTCCACCTGCTCCTTCTCCCGACGTTGCCACCCTGCCCTTCCTTATCAGTATCTCCTTGTCTCCTCATCATATGTTTTCTCATCACGCTTCCCTTGAAGGCTTTCATTTCAGTATCCTCCAATTTCACCATCAGCCATGTTCTTCACTCCTGCCTCCTGATGCTTCCTTCCTCCTGCATGTTCCGCCTCCTCCCGTCTCCCTCCCTCCCTCGGCTCAAGATTGTGCACTTCGCGCGTCGCCCCTTGCTGGAGGAGGAGGGGTGAGCAGGTGAGGGGGCTTGGAGGGAGAGAAAGGAGAGGAAGAGGAGTGATATAGAGAAGGGACAGCGGGGCACACGAGGAAGAGGAGGAGGAGGAGGAGGAGGAGGAGGAGGAGGAGGAGGAGGAGGAGGAGCAGGAGGGGAAGAGGAGGAGGAATACCAGCAGGAGGTAGCAGCAGCGGGGATCGCCGCCCGGTTCTGGCCCGCAGCTGCGCCGCAGCGCAGGGCGCCGGCCGCGGCGCGGCTCCCGGGCGTGAGAGGGCCCCGAGGCCTACCGAGCCTCGCGCTCCGCGGAGCAGGGCGGCAGCACGCGTGTGCGCTTGCCATGCACAGCGTGTCGTAATCCTGGCTGGCGCCGGGGCGTCGTCGTCGTCGTCGTCGTAAGCGTCGTCGCCGTCGTCGTCGCCGTAAGCGTCGTCGTAAGTGTCGTCGTCGTCGGCGTTGTTAAAGTCGTCGTCGTAAGCGTCGTCGGCGTCGTTAAAGTCGTCGCCGTAGTCGTATTCGTGCTCGTCGGCGTCGTAAGCGTCGTCGTCGTCGTAAGCGTCGTTGTCGTAAGCTTCGTCGTCATAGGCGTAGCTTCCCTTCGCGCGCATACGGTCGAGCATCTGGTTAAGAAGCCTCCTCTCGAAAAGCTGGGCCAGCGTTTCTTGGCCAACCTGCCGAAGAGCTGGCTCAGTTTCTGGAGCACGGTCGCCCTCCAGCGCTGACAGCAGAGCCTGGCCCGGGTGGGTTTGAGGAGACTTCCGGGAAGCTGGCTCAGATTTCTTTGGTGACAAGGTTCTTGATCATGTTGTCGGCTGTACATGCGTCTTGGGGCGAGGCGAGGGGGACGTCACGGAAGGGGATGGTTTGTTAGGGGCGGGGGCGGTTCGGCCGCCCTTGAATGGAGGGGGGGGGTACGATCGGGAATTTTGGCTTAGACTTGGCATCGCTCGGACGTGTGTGTTTTTCTTGGCGAGCACCGTCGAGAGGAGCATCTTGGACCATGGCTTAAGTCGGGCCTGTCCCTCTACAGGGGGAGTATTCAAAAATAGTCATAAAATAATCCGTGGACGACGTTTTACATATTTGTTTGACCCTTTGGGGGCATTGTTGGTGCATGTTTTCATAGTTTGCGTCCAAATCCCCCGGTAGTGGGACAGGCCCGACTTAAACCATGGCGAAACAAAAAAATACACGCACAAAGTCGACAGATGCGCCGGGAAGGGACGTCCGAGCGGTGGCCAGCAGAGGGCGTTGCGGCGGCGGCACCGCATACGTCACGGAAGGGGGTGCTCTGCTGTGGGCCGGTCAGGGCCGCGCCCGACCCAGCAGCGAGAGGCGCCGTCGGGGAGGGAAGCCCACTGGGTTCCACGCCTCCTCCAACGCCTCCTCCAACTCCTCCTCCTCCTCCTCCTCCTCCTCCTCCTCCTCCTCCTCCTCCTCCTCCTCCTCCTCCTCCTCCTCCTCCTCCTCCCCCTCCTCCTCCTCCTCCTCCTCCTCCTCCTCCTCCTCCCGGCGCGCGGCGCGCGCCGCGTGGGTCGCGGGGCGGCGGGGCAGGAAGCACGGGCTTTACGAGGCGGACGCGGCCCCGGAGATCGCCAGGTGGCTGGTGGCCCACGACGACCTCCCCTTCACGGTGGACAAGGTCGTCCTCATCCTCGTCGTCTTCGTCTTCTTCTTCCTCCTCCTCCTCCTCCTCGATGTCTGCATGACGGTCCAGGTGCCACCCCATCAGACCCGTCCATCAAAACATTGGTGGGAGTTTGGGGCTCGAGTCGCGAGATGGGCGGCGGGCGGCGCGGCGGAGCGCACAGGACCCGAGGCAGGCAGGCACAGCACGCCCGGGGCCCGTCGGGTACTTCACGGTGGACAAGAGCCTGTTTGTTTTTTTGATTCAGGCAAGTTTACTTGCATGGCGTTCGCCCCCCCCCCCCCCCCTCGCCCCTCTTCAAGCGAATACTAGCGTGCAAGTGCCTTTCGACTTGCGTGATTTCCGCGCCCCCCGAACGTGCAAGTCGTTTGCGGATTGCTTCAGGCTCAGCCCCCCCCCCCGTCCATGCAAGTAAACTTGCCAGAGTCTAAAAAACAACAGGCTCCAAGGTCGCGGCGCCGGCGTCGCAGAGCGGATTTTCGCTCGGGAAGCCATGGTAAAACGACACGAAGATCGGGACAAAATCGGACCGGGATAACTCGAAATCTCTGAGAATCGGCGGGTTTGGAGGATGTGTTGGGCGCCGCGGCCGCTCCAGAGCGTTCCGGAACGCTCTGAGAGCGCTCCGGAACGCTCTGGAGCGATGTATCCCGATCCTAGCCCTGTTTTACATGGGATGGGCCCGGACTGTCCTGGAGAATGTCGTGCCGCATGTCGAAGCGAGTGTCTTTCCGGATGTCGAAGTGAGTTCTGGTCAGGAATTGGACGCGAGAACTGCAGAAAATCCATGTGAAATTCGTGTCGCTTTTCGCTCGCAGTTTCACAGGGCTTTGACATTCACAGAGACCCACAAAAATACGCTGCAGCACGTCTGCAAGGTCGGCGTAGTGAACAGGGAGGGCGGGGACGGGTGGGGGGAGGAAGAGGCAGCGACACCGCTACGTTTCCCTCGTCGCCACGGCTGGATTCGCCCCGAAGTCTTGATCAGAGAATTCCCCGGAGAGAGAGCCGGGGAGTAGCGGCATCGATTTTGTTGAATGGCCTTGGGCTTGGGATCCGTGTCTCCCCTGGTTTTGAGAGCCCGTACCTCGTAGCCTGGAAGGCAGAGGTTTGAGCTTCGAGGTGTGTGGAGGTCTTCGCTGGTTCTCAGTTCAGCGCGTTCGCTTCCGAGGAATTCCAAGTCAGACCATGCGCGCGACGCTGCGTCTCTTGGGGCCACTTCATGGCCGTTTGGGGGCCTCTGAGGTCCCTCTGGGGGCCTCTTTGGAGACTCTTGGAGGCCTCATTGGGGCCTCGTGGGAGCGCCTCGGGAGCTGCTTGGGGGCTGTGAGTCTCATCTTGGGGCGAAGTGCTCGAAGGGTCACTGCGAGTTCCCCTCTTAGGCCCCTCTTGGGGCCGTCTTGGGGGTCCTCTTGGGGGCCTCTGCAGCAGGAGCAAGTACTGCTTGGACGCGCTGCGCTGCACCACTTCCTCTGGGGCTGGCGCCCCCCGACGAGGTGCACCGAAGGCTGGCGCGTGGGGCGAAAGTAGTTTCGGAACCCGCCGCGGGGGGAGTCGTTACAGTCAACCCGCGCAGTAAGGATGAGCAACTTTCCAAGGTCACCCTGGCATCCTCCCCCCTCGGCCCATCCTTGGCCGCTTTCGCTGTCCGCGCCCCGCCGGCAAAGTGTCGACGTGGCCTTCCAAGGCCCTTGCATCCTTACCTCGCATCCTTACTGTACGGGTTGACTGTACCATCGCTCCCTCCGCCTCCCTTCGGGTATGGCCAGGACCCCGGGTAAGGGGACCCTGTTAGTGGTAGGGCCCTTGAGCTTTCGAATTGGCCAGTATCACTAAACCAGGTTTGCCATAGCTGGTGTTTTGTCGGGTGACGGCAGTTCCGGTTAGTGGAAATGGGACGGGGGGGCGCCCCCGGTACAGATCACTAAACCAGGTTCCATTAAACCCAGTTCTGCCAACGCCCGATCCCTTTCGAGCATCCATCCGCGCGCCGTTGCGCGCATGTGGCTCAAATTTGCATCGTGCAGACAACCTGGTGGGGCGTGGCTGCGCCCGGGCAGGAGCAGCTGCGCTTGACATCCCTGGTGCGCGCAGCACGTGCGTGACTGCTGTGCGTACCGGGTAAGCGTCGCCACGTCGCGCGGCACCGTTGGAATGACCGTCCGTGTGCAACATCCATGTGGAGGACCTCCTGAGCAGGCAGAGGAGAGCAAGGAGCGCGCTCGATTGTCGGGGGATGCGAATTACCATGCGAAAGGCCAGGTGGCGACCATGCCGTACGGCAGGGAAGACGCGAGGCATACCGTGCGGAGCGAGAGAATGACACATGAGAGGTTCCCGAAAGAGCTTTGATGGACGCGCCGCGTAAACGCCGCGAGATCGCCGAGAAGTGGAAGATGAGCAAGATCGAAGCTGAGGATCGCAAGGGTGGTGGAGCTCGATGGGTCCAGTGTTCTATGTCTTGTCATCACTACTGGGTGCCATCGCACCGTTCAATTCCAGCGAGGATGTTGGCGACGGCAGTGTGTAGATTTCCTCGGCTGTTTGTTGGCGATAGTTGTTCTCTCGCTGTGGCCTTGAAGGTGTCGAGCCACGGTTGATGGATGGCATCGTGATGCATGCCGCGCGCACGTCTTTTGCACATCCCATCATTCTCAGGGGTAACGATAGGGGGGGATAGGCATAGGGGGGGATACATCGACCCCCAATCGCCCATTGACCGCCGATAGGGGCCCGGTAGCCCCAACCTGCCCAGGGCCGTGCGAATCCACTATCGGAGGCCTATCGCCGATCTATCGGCGATGCATCGCCGATTCCAGGTCGATGTTTCCCCCCCCCATCCCTATCCCCCCTAGCGTTGCCCCTCACATCCTCGCCTGTCCCCCCACACTCTTCCCACTCATCCGGATCCTTCAGCGTATCTTTTTGCGGCTACCCTACCACTTCCTCCTCCTCCTGCTCCTCCTCCTCCTCCTTCTCCTCCTCCTCCTCCTCCCTCCTCCTCCTCCTCCCTCCTCCTCCTCCCTCCTCCTCCTCCTCCTCCTCCTCCTTTTCCTCCTCCTTTCCTCCTACCTCCTGAGCGTCAGCGCCCCGAGTTTCGCCCAGCTTCCCGTGGAGCGGGGCGACACGCGACACGCGACACGCTATCGCCTTGCACGGCACAGCGGGTTCTTCCGGCCGCCGTGGCGACGCGCCAGAAGACGAGCTCCTCTGCGCCATAGGTCTGTCGTCCCCATGTGGCTACCCTTATGATGTTCCAACCTACTTCAGCCTTGATCACCAGGAAGAATTTCGAGCGCCCAAAACAAGTACCGAAACTCAAGGGTTTTCACCTGTCGGGCCCTGGGAGACACTCGCCCGACACTGTTTCGACTCTGTTTCGACACTCTTTTGACACTTTTCCGGGTGCTCGAAATTATTTCTGGGATGCGGTCCTTAATTAGGATGGAACAACATAAGTCTATCCAAACAGTCTGGCACTTGCCTACTCCATCCAAGCCCGGCCACTGCTTTGACAAGTCGAGCGACTCTCGGACGAGGCCAGGACAAGGATAAACGCGTTCCAGGGCGTTCCAGAACGCTCCCAGAGCGTCCCACAATGCTCTGAGAAGGCCTGCGGCGCCCGAGACATCCCCCAAAGCCGCGGGACGTCAGAGATGAACCCTAATATCACGATGAAGACGTGGCATCACTGAGATCCCCGTCTTCGCATTAGGGATAAGAATTCTGGGCGGTTTGGTCTGACACCTCTGCAGAAAAGAGAAAAGACCCCCATCCCGAATGTGTCTGCCATCCTTAACTCAGGTCCCCTCCCAAAGGGCTATAGGGGTCCTTCTTTGGTTGAGCGTTATCCTCGCTCGAGCTTGTCCTCGTCCTGGCTTCGTCTTAGCCCCCCCCCCCCCCCCGGCATCGCTCGGACGTGTGCATTTTTTCTCGGCGAGGGCCATCGAGGAGCATCCTTGATCATTTGGCGAAAAAACAACGCACGAAACCGAAAAAAACATAGGGAATGGACGTCCGAGCGATGGCCAGCCCCTCGCTGGGGAACTGTGCTGGGACCTCGTGCGGCGCCTCTCTTGGGACCTCGCGTCTCTCCGGGGTCACCCGCGAGGGCGCGCGCAGGGCATTCGCGCTTGTCGCTCTCGTCCTGGCCCGGGTCGGAGAGGCGCCCTCCACCCAGAGGAGCTCCTTCTCCTGTTGACGATGGCCACGTATTAAGCTCGAGCTCGCTGCGTCGTTGCTCCTCCTCCTCCTCCTCCTCCTCCTCCTCCTCCTATCCCTCCTCCTCCTTACCCTCCTCCTCCTTCCCCTCTTCCTCCTCCTCCTCCTCCTCCTCCTCCTCCTCTCCTCCTCCTCCTCCCCCCTCCTCCTCCTCCTCCTCCTCCTCCCCCCTCCCCACCCCCTCCCCCTCCTTCTCCTCCTTCTCCTCCTCCTCCCTCCTCCTCCTCCTCCTCCTCCTCCTCCTCCTCCTCCTCCTCCTCCTCCTCCTCCTGGTGCGTGGGCGGCTCAGGAGGTGGAACTCATGGAGAGACAAGAAAGCTCCTCCTTCTCCTCCTCCTCCTTATTAGGTTTTTGATTGTAGAGTAGGAGCACTCACAAACAGTTGTTCGACAAACAAGAAAGTTCACTCTTACAGGAGGAGCACTCAAAACTAGTATTCGAAAAATCTGGGGGCGATTTTCTGTATCACTTGCTACTGTTTTTTGGGAGTATGTTTGACTATGTTTCATTCTTCGTCCAACATCCGCCTGTAGGACGTGCCCGACCTAAAGCAAGTGGGGGGGAAGTTAAAAGGAGCAGGCCTTCTCAGGAGGCGGCGGGGCTTCTCGGCAGCCCCCCTCGCGCCTCTTTGAGAGGCTGCCTGTGCCTCCAGGGAAGGCGTGGGAAACTCCTCGGAAGTCTGGGGGGCCCCCTCGGCGGCGAGCAAAAGGGGGGGGGGAAAGTCAGAAGGCGAAGGCCTTCTCTCGGAAGGCGGCGGGGCTTCGCAGAGGCCCCCTCGGGCGCCTCTTGGAGAGGTGCTCTGTGCCTCCGGGGAAGGCCTCGAGAACTTCGCAGGAGGCCAGAGGACTCCCAGGCCTTCTGAGAAGAAGGCGATCGCAAACATGAATCCAGGGGGCGTGGATTAGCGGCGGGTCCCTTTTCCAGGGTAAGTCGCGGATTTCCGCCCCCGAGCGGGGCGGCGCCGGCCGCATTCGGGGGAGGGCACCCTCCCCCGATCCATGGATGTGGCGACCGCGCGCCAGATCCATGGAAAACTAATCCATGCTTGCGCGCCCCCGAGAGAAGAAGGCCCGCCAATGTTGGAGGCCATCTTGGGCGTTTTGAAGGCCATCTTGGGCGTGTTGGAGGCCGTCCTGGGGCCCTTTTGGGGCCGTCTTGGAGGCCACTTGGGCCGTCATGGGGCCCTCTTGGGGGCCTCTTGGGCGATCTTGGGGGCCTCTTGGGCCGCCCCGTCTCCCTCGCTTCCCCCCTTCCCCCGGAGGGGCCGCGGCGCCGCTCTGCGCCGCCGTCCCACGGCGCAGGTCTCGGTCCGCGGCCAGTGCGGGGCCGGAGCGCTCGCCCACGACCGTGGGGCGTGCAGTCGCCCAGTCGACCCCTCCACGTCCACAGTGTCACAAGACGACGAGCGACAAACGTGTCTGGGTCACACCCATCTGCTTGTTATGAGTGAGGCCGCGCCCCTCGTCGCGCGTCTCAAGCGCTGTTGGCGCTGGGCCACCCCCCAGCGGTTGCGCGCGGTCTCTCGAGGGCGTGGGCGAGGACCACGAGTCGAGGGGGGGAAGGGGGGGGGGGGAAGGGGGGGGCGGGGAGAGGGGGAAGCCGAGGAGTGAAGACGGGGCGGGGGGGAGGAAGGAGAGGGGGCGCCCCAGCGCATGGCCAAAACTTGAGGGAAATGCCGAACGCTTCGCCAGCGGGGCGTTTGGCATGTCGCGCAGGCATCGGACACAAGCCCAGAGGGAGAGGACAGAGCGAAGGCGATGGGGGAGGACGAGGGGGCGTCGGAGGGCAAGGCAAGGAGAGAAGGGCGACGGGGAAGGGAGTTTCAGGAGGAGGAGGAGGAGGAGGAGGAGGAGGCGGAGGGGGAGGAGAGCAGGCGGACGGAAGAACCGGAAGCAGGCCTGGGGGAGACGAGGCCGGGCGCGGGGAGGACATCGCGAAGTGGATCTCGAAGGGCATCGAGCTCGGGGTCGTGCCCAGGCCCGAGGTGGTGAAGTAGGGGCCGACCCGCCGCCACGGGCCCGCGGCGCCGCGAGGGGGGCGCGCCTCGGGGCGGAGGGGGCCCCCTGCGGCTGGACAAAGCCATCGCTCCGCGCTGCATCGCTCCTCGCTTTCTGCTGCCCGTTGGCGCTCTCCATTCGGGCCGGACAACAGGGGAGGATTGGGAAAGGGGGGGGGGTCGAAATTTGCTGCATGCAGCTGGTTTCGGTCTCACCGAGGGGCCTATCCCTCGATACGTAGCCGCCTCCGGCGCCGGGAGGCGCCGGGAAAATCAGCTACGTGAGCTGATTCTTAAACCCCCCCTTTGCTATCCCCCCGCTTCGCCCGACCCGGTCCATGTGCGCCACCTTCTTGCGGGGGCAGCGTACACGCTGTGGATTTCTGATGATTCAAGGGTGCTTTGTTTTTTTGGGGGGGGCCCAGAGCCTTTCGTTGCTGATTCTTCTGTCCTGGGCCTCTTCCTGGCCACTCTTGGGGGCCAGGGACAAGTAGACACGAGCACAATCAGAAATGAGCACGATTAGAAATGAACGACGTGTAAGACTCGAGTTCGCCGGAGCTCGGGCTCGCCGGCGCTCTTCGACGTGCCCGTCCTGGGCGGTTGACGGTCCAGTGTTCGTCGACCATAACTTCGTCTTTTTTCGCCAACTCAAAGCTTCACATACAAAGCAAATCGAATAACAAAACAAGTATAAAGAGCTGAAGCTGAAATGGCGCCAGAAACTTGATCACACACATAAAGCATGCGATAGAAATGAAGCCTTACAACACTGGAATCGACTCACGGACTTGTCCTGGGGTGTGTTCCGATCGGGACGCCGAGGCGGATGATCCAGCCGTGTCCGCGAGAAGCCTCCCAGAGGCCTCAAGGGGGCTATCTCGAGGAGCGATGACCAGGGTCGGGAGCTTCTGGATACAGTGCCGCTTTTAATAGATGCTCCGCGTGCGGATCATGCATTAAAAATGCAGGGCTTTGTTGTGATTAAAAACAACGATGCGTTCATGCCTAAATTTACTCCTAGATTAATCATGTATTAAAATTCCGATATGCTTCAAAGACCTATGTGCTAAAAACTGCCCTTTAGCGTGTCGCGCCGCCAGCTCTGGCCCACCACGCTTCGGCGCGACGCGCCGTCCACTTGGAGGAATTTGGAAGGATTTGGGGGGTATTTTGAGCACTTGGGGGTATTTGGGGGGTATTTTGAGCACTTGGGGGTATTTGGGGGGTATTTTTTGTTTTTCGCCCAAAATCCCTCTGTAGGGGGACGGGCCCGACCTAACGCTTCGGCGCGACGCGCCGTCCGCCTTCCCGGCCCCCGCGCGTCCATACGTCCCGAGCCTTCCCCGGTCTGCCGCCCACCCAGGCAGGGCGGGGCGACGCGCCGTCCGCCTTTGCAAGGCACGCAGCGTCTCGCCGGGGCCGCCGCCGCGACACGCTGAGCGGAGGAGGAGGAGGAGGAGGAGGAGGAGGAGGAGGAGGAGGAGGAGGAGGAGAAAGAGAAAGAGGAGAGGGAGGAGGAAGAGGAGGAGAAGGAGGAGGAGGAGGAGGAGGAGCAGAAGGAGGAGGAGAGGGAGCAGGAGGAGGAGCAGGAGGAGGAGGAGGAGGAGGAGGAGGAGAAGTCCTGGACTGTGTGTCGTCTGTTCTTTCTATGTTCGGGCCTCCCGGGGGTGTTTGGATCGGCGCCAAGGGCATCTCCGACGAACGCGCTGGAGGCGCCGCCAGGGAAGGGGGGGTCCAGCGTCGATTCGGGAAATTCGCGCAGAGCTCCGAAAGTGTATGTTCCCCGTCAGGCGACCATAACTTTGTCATTTTTCGCCAACCCAAAACTTCACATACAAAGCAAATCGAATAACAAAGCAAATATAAAGGGTTGAAGCTGAAATGGCGCCAGAAACTTGATCACAAACATAAAGCATGCGATAAAAATGAAGCCTGCCAACGCTGGATTCGACTCACGGACTTGTCCTGGGGTGTGTTCCGATCGGGACGCCGAGGCGGATGATCCAGCCGTGCCCGCGAGAAGCCTCCTAGAGGCCTCAAGGGGGCTATCTCGAAGAGCGAGGACCAGGGTCGGGAGCTTTTGGATAGCGTGTCGCGCCGCCAGTTCTGGCCCACCACGCTTCGGTTAAGTCGGGCCTGTCCCCCTACAGGGGGATTTTGGACGAAAAATAAATTATTCACTGCGTGGAGCTCCCCATATGTGCATCTACTCGCATGGACCTGTCCGCCGTGAATGTCTAGGCGCAAGAGCTTTCGAATATTAACGGGCTTCAGTTGTGACGGTCTGGACATCAATCTAACTGCGAATGAATTGGAGTGTGAATGAGCCTCAGTAGTAGTAGCGCGTCTCTGTGCATGAGCCTGGGGCCTCCTGGGGCCTCCTGAAACCTACTGGGGCTTCCTGGGGTCTCCAAGAGCCTTTTGGGACCTCCTGGGACCTCCTAGGAAGGTTTCGTGCCCCAGGGGAGGCGCAATCCATAGCAACAGACGTCCATAAAACATTGCGGATTATAGCCACAGGAGAAGGGCAATCTATAGGAACACGCGTAAAACACCAAGGACTCGTGCCCCAGGAGAGGCCCAATACATAGGAACATGAGTAAACCATTTCGGATTGTGTACACAGGAGAAGGACCATCTATAGAAACATACGTAGAACATCAAATAATCGTGCTCCAGGTGAGGCCCAATCGATAGGAGCATACGTAAAACACATGGGATTGGAGCCACTCCTGTTGCCTTCTGAGGCCTCCTGCTCCTGGGGCCTCTCGGGGCCTCCTGTTGCATTCCGAGGCCTCCTGGCGCTTCCTGTTGCCTCCTGGGGCCTCCTGTGGTTTCCTGATGCCTTCTGGAGCTTCCTGGGGCCTCCTGGAGCCTCTTGGGACATCCTGTGGCCTCTTGAGTCTTTCTGTGGCCTCCTGATGCCTCCTGGGACCTCATGTGGTCTCCTGGGGCCTCCTGGAGCCTGTTGGAGCCTCCTGTGGCATCCTGAGAATAATCTGCGCCCACGAGCCTGGCCACCAAAACAAGCAAACCGATCGAGACATCCTCAAAATCTGGCCCACCTGGGGGTGAAAATGAGCGTCTCGCTCGAGACATCCTCCAAATCTGCTCCGAAAGCGAAGGATGTTGGGCCCAGAAACAAGCAAACCGCCTGAGGCATCCCCACAAAATGGCCGCGAACGAGCCCGTGCAAACACCCCTGGCGGCTCCCCTTAGGGGTGCTGAAATGAGCGCCTCGCTCGAGACATCCTCCAAATCTGCTCCGAAAGCGAAGGATGTTGGGCACAGAAACAGGCAAACCGCCTGAGACATCCACACAAAATGGCCGCGAACGAGCCCGTGCAACCACCCCTGGCGGCTCCCCTTAGGGGTGCTGAAATGAGCGCCTCGCTCGAGACATCCTCCAAATCTGCTCCGAAAGCGAAGGATGTTGGGCACAGAAACAGGCAAACCGCCTGAGACATCCCCACAAAATGGCGCGAACGAGCCCGTGCAACCACCCCTGGCGGCTCCCCTTAGGGGTGCTGAAATGAGCGCCTCGCTCGAGACATCCTCCAAATCTGCTCCGAAAGCGAAGGATGTTGGGCACAGAAACAGGCAAACCGCCTGAGACATCTCACAAAATGGCCGCGAACGAGCCCGTGCAACCACCCCTGGCGGCTCCCCTTAGAGGTGCTGAAATGAGCGCCTCGCTCGAGAC